GAATAGGAAATTGGACTATTGGAGTTTGAACTATGTAACTAAGATTTTTCACTGATGCAAATATGTTAAAAGTAGGACAAATAGATTAAGGTCGTTAGGTTTTATTACTCAAATAGTATCCAAGTCTGAGACCACTTTGAAAATGAATACAACCCCATATGGTAGGCACGCTCATTTCCCATTCAATATTAAATACATTTCAAGATAAGAGCACTCACATAACCACTCACTAAATATATCAGAACCCAAAGAGAGACAACATTAAAAATGAAGGTTTACCCTGCTGCATAGTATTTTCCACCCTTATTCTTACACCTTAGATAAGTTTGTTTAAGTTGCAGATATTGTAATTGCGTTTATTCAACCCATTTCACAATTGATTGAACATTATGTGTTGCTAGTTATCAGTTGTTGTACAAAACCTAAAAATAACTGTAGGGAAAAATCAAAGCAATTTGCAATGAAACAAGTATGAAGAAGAGTAGGTGGAGATGAAAACCTTATTGCAATAGCTTTATCAGTATAACCTTCTCGCTTATCACGAAATGAATTCCGCACCATACTCGTTGGCTGGAAGATGATTCATTAACCAGACCACCATGACCAAAGAAAAACAAGAAAACTGCTTATCACATAGCATATGTCATATACAAATTCCAAAAATCTTGGTTTTAAAAATCTAGACTAGATGCAGCATACAGAAGATATACTTACATAGTTTCGTTTTGGTAATATCAAAAGCCGAACTACACGCTCAAGACCATTCAAAATGAAGTACCTAAACATATATGTTAAACATCTATGTCAGAAACTTAGATCATTCTGCAAAGTTACACTTCAAAACCACATCAAAATCATATTGTCTTACCCGCCCATTTCTGATGGATCTTCCTTGCGAGATGCCATTTTTCTGGGGTTGTCAATATTTCTCAATTGGCAGAGCTTTGACTACAAAAAAAAAAAATGTATATATAATAGATCTGAAGTCAGCATCACATAGATGGCAAGACATCTCTGCACAACAATAATCTCTTCCAAAACATATGTTGTTAAAGAGCAACAAAATTAATAATGATAGAGGAAGTTTCCATTTATTTTATTCACTACTTTATGGTTTCTTCAAGAGCTACTTTATAACTTTCACCCAAATGTTACATATATTCTTGTTAGCATAAATACTGTAAACCTTCACTTGGAAATTTTGCAGTTGGATTAGTAAAACTCACACACATAACTATAATTCAGAAACTTGTTAAAGAACTGAACATGAAGTCTGTTTTTTTTCATTTTTACCTTACATTTGAGAGAGGAGGGGGAGGGGGTGTTAACTAGAATGTTATACCAACCTTCAACATGATTGGAAACTGGCCGAAATTAATTTTTTCTCTTACAACAGCTCCATCATCATATTGAAGGCAAATATCCACCATAAACTTGCCTGTGTATGAAAGTTTTGCTTGTCTACACTGTTTCATTAACACCAATCACATCAGAATTTGAATGCACTGTCTGAGAACAGAGATTATCATTGCATGTAGACACAAATACTTGCCTCAAAGGGATACAGAGCATCCTGTACACCCTTGTAACCACGATCCTTTTGAGGAGGGAATAATTCGGGTTTCCCAAACCAAAGTATATTATAGGTTAAGAATCAAACTTACAACACATGGAAGATTGAAATCAATTGCTCAATAAATAAAAATAAAAGATTGTTGAACACATTATCAATTGACATTACGTATGCCGTACAAAACTCTGCATATCACAATATTCTGCACTTTTTTATGAATTTCATTGGTTAATTAAGTAAAAATCAAATTTAGCATACTAAAACAAAGGATATTTCTAAGCTTGTGGCCGGAGAAGGGATCGGAGACCTCGACGGGCTTGATAGCCATAAGCATAGTCTCAAGTCCTTGGTCCACCATGTGATCGAAGGACTCTATATGATGAGCGAACAGCTCTTTCAGTGCCGAGTAGTCTTTCTCCTTCATCAAGTGCGGCCGATTCATCGCTCCACCACCTGCTGTTTTTTCTTCCATCGTTTTGCAATTTTCTTTCTCAGGGACAGGGTGAACAATAAGAACTGAAACAACTCTAACGTAAACGGCGAGGGTTTAGCTAGGGTTTAAATAAAAGTTCCTTTTTTTCTTCTCCCAAAAAAAAAAAAAACTAAATTGGCAAATACTGCTAAATTTGTACGGAGTACAGGTCAACTCATTAAAATCTATTAAGAAATAAGAATCAGTTTAATTATTTCCAAAAAAAAAAAAAAAAAAGAATCAGTTTAATTCGTTTATAATTTGTTATTTAAAATATAAAAGGAAATTTTTTTATTTTATTTAAACTAGTGTTTTAGATGTACAGAATAAATTATATTATTATGAATTTAAATAAACATTTAGAAAAAAATAAAAGAATGTTAATTGTACAATATAATATAATAATATAGTTAAACTATCTCATAAAATACAAAATTTTGATTTAAAATTTTGTATGATTAAATAGTCAATAATCGTTTTCAAAAAAAAAAAAATCAATAATCATATACATATTTTGATAAATTTATAGAAAAATGTACAAAATTCAATTAATTTATTCATAATTGTATGTATAGAAGATTGTCACATGGAGTTGTGAGATCTTGGTTGAAGTTCTACCGGAGCGTATAAATGGGGAAAGTAGCACGGAGTTGTGAAATCCTGAAAAAGTAGCACGGAGTTGTGAAATCCGAATTGTAGTTCTACCAGAGTGTAGAAAGGGGAGAAAGTAGCACGGAGTTGTGAAATTCAGTTGCAGTGTTTAGGCACTGGGTCACAACACTTATTTTATTAGTATGTTGTGCACAATACTATAACAATCGGTTAAAAGTTTTGATTTATCGGTTGCCTTAGCAAAAGTTGTTTTTGGCGAAATCGGTATAAAAGTCTATTCACCCCCCCCCCCCCCGCCCTCTCCCTCTAGACTTTTACCTCATCTCTTTTGGGACCAACAAGGAGGAAGACGTGGTGAGGGGGGGGGGGGGGTAGTAGTAGTTTAGTAATCGAATAACCTACCGAGCAACACTAGTACGCCCTAGCGACCATAGGGGTCGATAACCTAAAAGTGAAATTTAAATACAGTAAATTAAAAGGCGAGTCGCTTATTGAGAGGGATTGGCTAAAAGCTTCTAACTTGAATGAGTCGTGTTTAACCGAATAGCATCTCCGTTAGTATGCTCGAGGAGCTCTTACAATTTCTCACGAGAATGCGCAACTATGTTTCTCCTCTGCGCCGTATTTATAGACAAGTTAGGCGGGAAAATTTGAATTTCATAACAAATCCCAAGGTTGTCGTCCGCATCACGACACGTGGTTAGTAGTTCAGATCAAGTGATAATCCATGCAGTGTAGCGTGGTTAAGCATCACACCAAATCCCGCCCAGATCGAGTATTATTATTAGAACCTGATTGGATTCGTTTAGTCCTCACCATGTCATCTCGACTTGGGACACAGACTAGGGAGGCTAGATGATAGGGAATATACTCGGTATCATATACTTATCATACCCAAGACCTGGTCGGATACAAGCCTCCTTTAGACCAAGGCTATTTCCCGACCTCAACCGACCCTAGTATGTCCTTCAGACCGCCCCAACCTGGGAGCTCTATTAGATGCATATCGTAGTACGCTGTTGTCTGCACCTTGTAGGGTCGGTTTGACCTAATCTGCTCGGTTCCCGACCTAATAGACCTTGAGCATAATACTTGGCATTATAGTTAAGCTCGCCTGACAAATAACAACACAAATATTTTACTACACGTGCTATCTTCTCCTTCGCCGACCTGGTCCCGAGTGCATGAGAGACACGTGGCGAGCATGTCAGCTCCTTAGTATGTGTCCCTTGAATTCTCCCTATAAATACCCCACAAAGCCACGACAAGAGGGACTTTTAACAACTTCTCCTTAGTCGCTGGGGAATGTCCGGCCTCACGCCTCCTCCTGAGCTCGTCACATCAGTCAAACAAGTTGACCATTCACGGGGCGCAACTATGCCCGATCTGGCACTTTATATATATATATATTCATTGTAGAAGTAAGTATATACTACATCACTACCTAAATGGGTAAATTATTCAGTGGACTCGGGTCCACATTGCAAGGTGGACGAGAGTCTAAAAATACACAATTTACATACTGAATGTTTACAATTTTTATATACTAAATGTTCACGATTTACATATTGAATATTTATAATTGACATACTAAATGTTTGTAAACATTCAGTATTTAAATTGTGAATATTAAATATATAAACTGTGTATTTTGACCCGATTTACCTTGCAAGATGGACTCGGGTCCATGGCATAACTGTCGACTTAAATGTGGGTTACTCAATAAATAATTGGGCCTCCAAACTCCAAAGTTTATAGTCTGGCCTAGATGAATCAATCGTTATATCCTACAACACGGCGCACATAGCACTGTGCGCCGCGCGCCTCCCAAAATGACGTCGTTTTGGGGTAGTGTTGGGAGGCGCGGTAGGAAGTTGCTGAGATTATGTGTATTTGTTCACAACGTTATGTGTATTTGTTCACAACGTTATGTGTATTGGTTCATACAGTTATGTGTATTTTTTATACAATTATATACATTCTTTTTATACAATTATGTACATCCGAATCAAAAAATTTGTGTGTATTATGTTAAGAGTTGATGTGTATTATGTTAAGAGTTGATGTGTATTATGTTAAAAGTTTATGTTTATTATGTATTATGTTAGATTATGTGTATTATCTTTTAAAAAGAGTATGTATATTTTGTTATATAATTATGTACATTCATGTATAACATTATGTGTATTCTAGTATAACATTATGTACATTCTTGAACAGCGGATTTTTTTTTAAAGAAAGACTACTGCCATTCACTGGGACGGAAAATTAAAAAAAAAAAAAAAATTAAAACGACGTCGTTTTGCATCTGGGCGCATAATGCAACGCGCGCCGTGGTGTAGGATATAAATTGCCTAGATGAATGCTTTAAGTACGATGCAACGCGAGAGCCCAAATTGCGTCGTAGAACTAGAATCAGCCTTTTCTCCAATTTCCCTTTCTCGTTTTCGCCTTGGTTCCCGGTTTGGCTGCGTTATTGTGCAGCACTGTCAGCCGCGTTCTGTTACTCTCAGGTAGGGAATCCGGTTTTCTTGTGCCCATGTATTTGGGATATTGTATAATCTGCAGTCTTTGTGCACACCAACTGTTCGATGAAAGATTTGAATTCACAAACTAACGGGTAAAGAGAGAGAAATCGAGGAAGAAGTGGCAATTATATAGAGCTTCATGTTCATTGAAGTAAAAATAAAGTGAAAAGAAAATTGGAGTGTAGGAGGGTTAAGGGAGTTCCACAATCTGTACATTTCTGTTGGGATGCTTAAAGTTAATAATGGTCTTGGGATTATTTTCTTTTAAAGAAAAATGATGATCCTAGGTTTGTTTTGTAAGGTAGAGTCGCAAGAAACCAATTTTGGGAAGGAACTGATATTCTTTGATTAAACATGTTAAGTTAATTCGATGAAGTAAGTGTAAATTTGTTGTTCTTCCTTGAGAGGGAACCAATATTCATTCCATGTAGTATAGAAAAAATGAAAAAGGTGTGAAATGGGCATACCAAATGCAGGAAATGACTTGAGGTCAAAATCACAATTCCTTTCTGATATGATTCTTGCATACTTAAATGTTATTCTTTTGCTTAGCGTTCTAAGGTGTTTTCATCTTGCAGTTTTTAATATCAAAATATCAAACTTAAGAACTTTAATGTAGCTTAATATTGGTGAAAAATTAAAAATGGTCCAGTTTGAGCATGTAGTGTGACTACTCCTATTAGAGTGGGTGGAGAAACGGGCTGTATTATGTAAGAAATACAGTGTAACTATGGAAGTAATCTTTTAACTGAGTGGAGTGTGTATTCCCTAAGTAGTTGATCACCTCATGTCTAGCCATCTCTTGCAAAGTAAGGTGTCAGGATGTACATCAATTGGTACTGTGCTTACACTTTTGACCACTCTCTCTGTATCTTCTCTAAAACAATGTGTTGCAAACATTCTTTTCCAATCATTAGAGCCCATAATGGTATTAAATTATTAAATTGCCTTATGTGTGATTAGTATTGGTAAAATTATCTTATTTACTATTGGTAAGTTAATTCACGTTCTTAAGTTCATATTGCCTTGGACAATAAAAACGACAGTTCACTGCCTTGCTGTTTTCCTAAGAAATTTCAAACTCCTACGACAGTGACCATGGAAGAAGATGGTGAAGAACCACCACTTGCTGTTGAGATTACTGCTGCTGTCAATGAAAGCACTCCTTGCCCATCTACCCAAATCAATCACCAGCCAGAAACCACCGATGCCCCTCCAGTCGGTGTTACTGTCATCACAGGCTACCTCGGCGCCGGCAAATCGACTGTAAGGTTCCTTTCTTTCTATCTCCCCCTCTCCCCAAGTCCATTCCTTTTTCCTTCTTACCATTCAATGTTTTATGTATTTTGACAATTTTAGGAAAATTACAGCTGATAAATTACATATTGAGTGCACAACATGGGAAGAAAATAGCAGTAATACTCAATGAGTTTGGGGAGGAGTTGGGAGTGGAGAGAGCGATGATCAATGAAGGAGAAAGTGGTGGGCTTGTGGAGGAGTGGGTGGAGCTAGCAAATGGCTGCATTTGCTGTACTGTGAAGCATAGCTTGGTTCAAGCTTTAGAGCAGCTTGTTCAGAGGAAAGAAAGGTTTTAGAAAATTACTTCAATTTTTGTTTGCCTACAGTGCTTTATTGATCACATAATTGTCTGTATATCTGTGGTGTGTATACTGAATTTTCACCTCCCCTGATTATATACTTGAGTTGAGTTAATGATTCAAAAGTCATTTTTAGTGAAATATGTAATGAAATTTTTTTCTGATTTGATGTTTGAATATTTGTTTAACGTTTGTAAGAAATGGGGTTGAAATGCATAGCCAATTGAAATTTGGTTTATATACACGAACAAGAAAGGTCCACTGCCTTGTTATTACTGTAGTTGAACCCTTGGTCGAAAGTAACTTCCTGTTCGTTATGCAAACCATAGTCTAAAAAAGAAAAGGAAAGCATAGGTTGGGTGTGTTCATATTCTGTGGATACAAGAGTTTTTTGCTGTGCAATGTCTTTTATTATACAGAGTATATGAAATACCTTTTTATTTAAATGAAGAAATTCAATTTTTTTCTGTATGTGTTTGCCAACTGCAGGAGATTGAAGGTTGTTTAAATGAGAGTTTTATTGTTTCTTAACTAGACAGTTCTTTTAATACCCTGATAAGCATCACATTTATTACTAGCCTTTCACAAACTATGTTTTTTGTTGCATGTAGACTTGACCATATATTGCTAGAGACTACAGGTTTGGCAAACCCTGCACCTCTGGCATCTGTTCTTTGGTTGGATGATCAACTAGAATCAGCTGTCAAGCTTGACTCCATTATTACTGTGAGTTTTATATGATTATAGTTTACCTAATTTCACTAGAGGTGCAAATTCATTCTGTTCTATTTGTCACCCCTCTTTGATAGGTTGTTGATGCAAAAAACCTTCGTTATCAGCTGAAGGTGCACCATGAATCATCTTCATTTCCAGAAGCATACTTGCAAATAGCATATGCGGTATGAGAAAGTTCCCCAACTATTTTCAATCATATGATATATCTAATAGTTATTGTTCCATATGTGTTGATATCATCCTTTATTTTTTAAACCTTGAGCATGAGGGTAAATGTCTTCTTCATCTTCTTTTTGCTTTTTATAGGATGTTGTGATTCTTAACAAGATTGATCTGGTATCTCAAGATGGTTCTGGATCAGCTCTAGATGAACTGGAGAAGGAGATACACAATATTAATTCCCTTGCCAATATTATTCATTCTGTTCGTTGTCAAGTTGACTTGTCTAAAATACTGAATTGCCAAGCATATGATCCAACAGTATGTCAACTAATCTTCAGCATTTGCTCCACATGTCTTTAATCCGATGAAATCATTATTTATTGACAACTATTGTGACATCCTGGTCTTATTCAGCATGTAACTCACTTGGAAGCATTGCTAGAAGCAAATAAATCTCTAACTACTCGAGATCTTCATGATACTGGTGTCCGAACGTTATGCATTTGTGAGTCACAGCAGATCAATCTTGACAAGGTAATTTCTGAAGAGTTTATTTGAGAGTTTGCTCTTAGGATAACCATAAATGTTTATTTTTCAGAAATTATTTCCAATTGAAGCATATCTAGTAGAAAATGTCATTGGAGTATAAAAAAAGATAGGAGGTTGATACACTTGTGGCTTCTGGTGCTTTTTTCAACTAATAGTAGCTTTCTTGTCCCTAAGATACTGACTGAGCTCATCTCTTTTTCTCTTACGCGAAAAGATTCGTGTGTGGCTCGAGGAACTCCTTTGGGACAAAAAGTATGGCATGGACATATATCGCTGCAAGGGAATTTTAAGAGTCATGAATTCAGATCAGCTCTATACTCTGCAGGTACTGATGCATATAGAATGCAACAAATTACTAAAATCTAGTTCATTAGAAGCTTTTCTTTTATCCTCCAAACCAATTTAAGAGGTTTGATATAGCATGAACTTGTTATTCTTCCACAGAAGTTATCCCAAGTTGTACACAATAGTGCAACTTGATTGCTAAGAACTTTATAGACTAACACATTATTGGATACAAATAAGTGACATGTAGGTACGAGGCACACTCAAACACATTTGTGTGCGTGTGTGTGTGTGAGAGAGAGAGAGAGAGAGAGAGAGAGAATAAAGAAATTATTTCACTTGAATATGGAATTCCATGTGGTCATTATTAACATCAGCAGACTTTTTTTGCATTCCTGAACAATACTGATTGACACCTTGATACATTTTTTATTGAATAATGTTTCTTTCATGTCTGTAAATACTGCTCTGGTATTTTTGATTATTTACATGGACTATAGTAGCATGTAATGCATCATATAATCCTCACTTTTCGTCATTGTTTCCATGTAGAGTTTGAAAAAATGGCATGTGCCAAAAGGCTATGCATATTTAAGGGATTGATGGTGCCTTTTATTTTACAGACCACAAGTCTATATCATTTCAAGTGTCCAGAATCTGCAGAATTGTCTTAATTTTGCACGTCATAATCAATACAATTTTTTTTTTTTGGCTCTTAGGGTGTGAGAGAGATCTACGAGATTGTTTCAACTCGGGACTGGAGAAAGGAAGAAAACCAAATGAACAAAATAGTTTTCATAGGTAAACATATTTTTAAAGTTTTCATGTACAAACGGCAACTATTTTCTTCTCTTCAATCTTTTATACATATCTCTGACTCTGTGTGCAGGTAAATCGTTAAATGAAGACATTTTGTTGGATTCTCTAAGAGCTTGTGTAGTGGAAACCTCAACCTGAGCACATAGATGAGCTTCATGGAATTTAATACTTGGTAAACTGCCTTTATTTTTGGTTAGTTCAGTATACACCATAACTATCTAAGGTTCAATTTCATGATGTGCATGATGTAGAGTGTAGACAACAATTATACTATGCTCATCTCAACACTACTTGTATACATTTTGATGCCAGACTTTTGTGTGTAATTTGTAAGGTGGCTATATCCTCTCCAACCGCTACTATGCAAAATTGAGTAAATTTACATACAATATATACCAATACTTCCTTGCAACAAATTTAGATAAATTACTTATTTGTTAAGAAAACTTTCTAATTTGAGTTAAAAAAAAAAAAAGAAACACTCCATTTATCTTATAGGAATCTCATCATTGTCCACAATAAGCATCTTTGAGCTTATAAAAAAGTTGTGATGTGTTGTAAATCAGTAGAACAATAGATAGGATATAGAGAAGGGGAAAGATTCTTTTATTGATAACTTTAAAATTACATCAGTTATTCTACAAATGGGCGATCCTCTTAAAATAACTCTTAAAAAGAACTTTTTTTTTGGTATACCTAGGGTTTTCACCGTCGCACACAGTGACTAATCCTCGTAGGCACCTCTTTTGGGTGGGACAACTGGCCTAGAGATTTAAAGCTGCTCCATTTTCAAAACCAAGGATCGAATCTTTGACCTTTAGTTAAAAATGGATGAGTCCATTCCACTCAACCACACCCTCCACTCCTCCAGGTTCTCTTACTTAATGATGCTCTCTTACTTAAAAGATGAGTTATTTAATTTAACCTCTTTATAATTTGTATAGAGGCTCTCGAATAAGATATTTTTGTCTTTTACACCCAAAGTAAATAATACATTTAGACACCTGTCAAGTGTGAACATACAGCTTGGACGTCGAAGGCACCCCACATTTTGAGACAGCACATAATTATGTGTTTTTTTTTTTGCTTTTCACGTAGCATCCCATTCCCCGGGTGACATCAATAATTTGCGGAGGACAACACCGACACATACATATCTAATAATGTTTCCAATATAATTATACCGACACTCTAATATCATGTGCTCATCCTCGTTTTACAGCTATACATGAATCAAAATTCCCGTGTTATTTTTTTTTTGTTTATTTAAAAAAAAATTAAATACGACATTCAGTATTTTTTAGAAAAGTGTCAAATAGGTCACTAAATTTTATCTGAAAAATCAATTCAACACTTAAACATTTTAAAGTTGTAATTAAATCATCAATATTGTATTTTGGCGCAATTAAGTCCAAAAACTTGTTAGTGACATGTTATTCCATGTCACTAGGATTCCGATGACACTCCGACGTAAATTCTGACAAAAAAAGACCGGTGACACGAACAATCGTCAATCGTGGAGAAGGTATGCGACCTTGGTTGCCTTCTCACTCTGGAAGGTGACCCGTCGCCGGCCTTCTCTGCCTGAGAAGGCGACCAGTCGCCTTCCAGAGTGAGAAGGCGACCAAGCCTTCTCCGCGACCGGCGACCGTTCGCCGGTTGTTTTTTAATCGGAATTTGCGTTGGATGGTGCCGGAACCCTAGCAGGTCACTAATCGGTATTTGAACTTTATTGCACCAAAATACAATGTTGATGGATTTAATTGCAACTAGGGATCTAATTGACTTTTTAAGTAAAGTTTGAAGGCCTATTTGAACCTTTTTCCTATTTTTTTTAATCACAATTCTAATTCAGATTGAATTACGCAGGTGGAGTTTTCCTCTTACTGATAAATAAACTTAATCCAAAATCTTTTAACATTAAGGTGCATTAAGAAGGCATAAACTTCTTGTATTTTTTATTTGTATGTTTTTCAAACTCAAAGTGATGGATCAAGGGCTTCAGCTGCATGATGAAGACGAGAAATCCAACAGAGGCTGAACTATGGGCAATTTACCTGGGACTCAAATGGACCTGGAATCAGGGAAAGAGGTGTATCCATCTACTCAGCGACTCGAAACAAGCGGTCGATTGGTTAAATGGGCACTTCAACATTCTGGGCCATTGCGGCACCATCGTTAAGTGGTGTAAGGAATGGCTACAGAAGGATTGGACAGTCAAGGTTGAGTACATACCCCGCGAGAAGAACGGTGTTGCAGACTGGCTAGCGAAAGAAGCTCCGCGGCGTCAATGTGAGTGGGTGGACTTCCAGTGCCCACCAAGAGAAGTCCGTGACACTTTGAGCTTGGATGATGTGTCTACTGTGCAGGATCCACTAGATTAATAGGGTCACCCCTCCTACCCCTCCCCAAAAAAAAAGTGATGGTCTCTATAATTAATTAACAATGAAATTCAATATATGTATTTATTATTTGGATAATTTTTTTTTTTGAGAAATAAAAAAATGTACTTTTTGATTTTATATTTCTTTTTTTTTAATTGTTTCAATATTTGACTAGGTATCACCAAAAAGCAAAGAATATTATTTAGATCAAATATGTTTGGTAAATACTTTGATTTGTGAATATAATTGTGATGGACATTAATTACAAATTTTCAAGCATGTAAGAAGACCATGTTTTTGTTTGGAAATAAAATCCATACTAATAATAACCCAAAATGCATTAAACATATTTTATAATTAATTAGAAGATATTTTGTTAATCTATGAAAATAATTAAAATAAATTTTAGAGGAATTGGCAAGACCTTATGGTCTAATGGCATCTGGGTTGCACTTTGATATGAGAAGGTATGAGTTCGAGTCTCAGTGGAGGTGAACAAATACTATATTCTAATATAGTTAGTAGCATTAAAAAAAATAGAGGAATTATTAAGATTTCTCCTTAACAAAAATCATTTTGTCCATATATGTGTGTTACAGTGATATATCTAATTATTTTATTTTATTTTACAGTCTTGTAATAAAAAACGTATTTGAAAATTTACTTAAATTGAATATATATATATATATATATATATATATATATATATATATATATATATATATATATATATATATATATATATATATATTTAAATTAGTTAAAATAAAATATATTAATCTTTAGGACCCACAAGTCAACAACCATGTACAGTTATTAAAACATAAAGTACAACTGCATACAGAATAAAAAACCTACCTTTCCTACCATTCTACCAACTTTAACCAAACAACTCCAACTACCCGCGTACAACTATTGATGCATAAAGTACGATTATATGCAGCACCAAGCAGGAACCCTACCAACCCCAACTAACAATGTACAACTATTGATGCATAAAGTATGATTATTTGTAGCACCAAGCAGTTACCAACTCCAACTAACTGTGTACACCTAGTGATCCATAAAGTACGATTATATGTAGCACCAAGCACTTAGAGCATCCCCAATAAAGATTTTGGGATGGGATTTGAGGAGATTAAATCCTATGTGAAAAAGAGAATGAGGAGAGAGTGTTTTGGGTCTTAATATAAGGACTTAATTTTCGTCTCTTGAGTAAGCCAAAAAAAAAAAAAAAAAAAAACTCTTCATTGAAATTGAAATTGAAATTTTCAACAAATATATTCTTACTAATCAAACACAAAAATTTAAATTCATATTTTATTTTCACATTATTCTCTCGCATGAAATTGCAATTCATTTCTCCCCATCCAATAATACCTATTAAAATAGTACTGACTTGGAGCAATGATATTTTGTATGACTTTAATTGTTGCACTTGTTGTTGCCTTGTCATAAAAATAAAAATAAAACGGGCGTTTGGAAGAAAGTGGCCATACATGTTGTAAACTTGTAATTGGACTTTTGGTTAGTTTAATTGAAATTTTGAAATATAAAAATTAGAGTGCTTTATCAGTCTAGTCAAGTAATGTGTTACAAAATTACTTCCTTAAGAGTAATTAGAGTACTAGATTTTTTTTTTTGTCCGCATAAATAACTCAATTGTTCATAAAGATAAAATATATCACAAAAGACGATCAATGATTGAGTTTCATCAGTGACAGTGTGGAAAATACCTTTCAAAATGAGGGGCTCCTTGTATACAGTGAGCAAAAGTCTAGTCTCTATTGATTAGTTGATGAGTCACCATGACCAAGATTTATTCCTCTACATTCTTGTCGGGTCGAGGTGTGGAGGCGCACAGTGTTGCAAAAATTCTGCCTATGCGCTAGGTGCTAGCCGGCCGCCTAGCGTATCACCATAATTAGTGGTCCAGGCGGGCCGACTAGGTTGCATAGTCGATCGATTAGCTATTGTTCCATTCTTTTTAAATGGATTATTTCATTCAAAACGACATCGTTTTGAGTAAAATAATCCTAAATTGTTCAAACTCTAGATTTTGTTAGGTTAATATTTAATATTTTAGAATTAATTATTAAAATATTAAATAGTTTATAATTATCAAGTTTTAAAAAATTTTAAACATTTTTTTAAAAATAAAAAATACATGAGTGCTTAGGCGCCTAGCGACTTTTTCAACCATGGGGGAGCATGAGGTGGATGATTCAATTGTTATATCATGCACTAGAGTCCACCATGCACAAAGTAGACCCTATATATATATATATATATATATATATATATATATATATATATATATATATATATATACACACACACACACACATATTGGCCCTGTTTGGTAAAAAATTGGTTTATAGGTCAATTTTGACTTATTTGACCACTATTAATTGTTTGATTTAGTTAAAATATCAATATAAATGTTTGGTTAATTGGTTTTTTTGCAACTCTAAAGGTTAAAATTCAAAAAGCTACTCCAAGCAACTTTTTCAATTAGCTTTTTGAGAAAAGAAATTATACCAAACAGCTATCAGCTAACAGCTAATTTATCAAACATTTTTCTACAATCAGCTAACGTTATCAACTATTTATACCCTCTAATTAACACAATGCTAACAGCCATTTTACCAAACAGGGCCATTATATCTCTAGTTAATAGATTCTGTACATATTACAGTGATACATAATATGCTGTTGCAGGTACATAATTTAAACCGGAGTGTATAATATAATGGATCTTGATCGATAATATAATTTGTGGTTGAGGTGAATGGTAAAATTTGTAAAGTAGTCTCAAGATCATATCATATCTTGAATAATATATATTAAAACTTGTCATAAATTATATTTGTAAACCGTATATATCTCTAGATAATAGATTCTGTACATATTACAATGATACATAATATGCTATAGTAGGTACATAATTTAAACCGGAGTGTATAATATAATGGATCTTGATTGATAATATAATTTGTGGTTGAGGTGAATGGTAAAATTTGTAAAGTAGTTCTCAAGATCATATCATATCTTGAATAATATATATTAAAACTTGTCATAAATTATATTTGTAAACTGTCTGTCAAATAAAATTTGATATGAACAAGTTAAAATAAATATTATTATTATTATTATTATTATTCAAAAGTTAATAAAAATCATTCTTTCATCACACTAGATGAGACTTATATTCGACAACTAGAAATTATTGCGCATTTTATCTCATTATGTATTTAGTTCAATTAACAACGTTTAACTCATATTATCTATAATTTTTTTTATAATATTAAGTTTTAATACATAAAATTTATATATTTAGCGACAACATTAAAATTCTTATTAAATATAAAAAATAAAAAAAATAATTTAATCAATAAATAATAAATAGGATAAGTAAATATGAAAAAAAAGAATATAATAACAAAAGCAGTTATATTTGCATAAATGGTTACTCGGTATTTATAAAAATGACATCATTATTAATTTTATATATGGATGAAATTTCAATGGGTTGGGTCAAAAGAGGTTGGTGGCGTCTTCCTGGAAAGTGGAAACTAAAAGTAAAAAAATGAGAAAAATGAGCAAGTTGCACGCTCAGTGGCTCACCAACTCCGCGGGTGGATAGCACGCTCCTACAATCCCGCGCACTCTATAAATACTCACTCAACCATTTCACCTATCATCACCGCTCATATCTAGTCCTCCTCCGCATTCCCATTTCCTGGATCATCTCAGATCTAGATTTCGTTTCGTTTCAGAGGTACGAACTGCTCTGTTTCCGCTCTCCTCCTTCAATTTCGCCATGTTTATTATGCGATTCGCATTTCGTTTTCCAGTCTCGGAGTGTGTGTTTTGTTTTCTAGAGAGTTTATTTGGTGTAGCTTTTGATTCAGATGTGAATTTCGTGGTTTTATGATCCTATCCTTTCATTCATTCGTTTTGCCTGAGATTCCCCTGTCTATGCATCTCGTTTGTTAGTTGTGACGTTTGTGGCTTCGTATGCAATCGGATCTGTTGTACTTTGCTGTACTGGTTGCCTTGAGCAAACAGTTAAAGTATGTTTTTCATAAATTGCTTTTTGACTTCAATTGTTGATGTCAATTCAATGAAAATGAAAAATCCACTCAGTTGATTGCATTTTCTTTTTAAAAGGCTAATTTACCTTTAATAATGGTCGGTCGGTTTTGTGATTTTGATGTTTATTCAATTTTTGTTCAAATTTACCTTTCTAATGTGAATTATTATTATTATTATTATTATTATTATTATTATTAACAAAAATAATTGTTAAAATAATAAATAATAATAAATTTATATTTAAAACTAAAAATAATTGAAGTGTAATTTAATAAATAAAATAATATATTCATGTCCTGTAAAATCATTTTACATGTTGTACTACCAGCTTGTCAGCTAGTCACTAATTGTCAAGCACCCCATGTGTTTTGGTAAATTTATGGTGTGTGATGGTAGATCTGCTCATCTGCTAGCTGTTTTCATTGTAAATGTAGTGAACCGTGCTACTTTGGTCAAAGGCATGTTTTTATGTGTGTTCTTAAATGTTGCTCTAGGCTTATTTGTAATCCCTGTTAGGCAAAATAAAATGAAGTTTCTGTTTCAAAAAAGAAGTGGGGTCTGTTTATTTTCTTAACAATTATGAATGCCATTGCTTTTTCTGCTGATCATGTTATATCCCTTGGCAGTTTCTGTCATGTGCTTGTGTAATTCTTTTACTTGAAGAGGTGCTAACGAGTTTTTCGTTCTAAAAATTGTCACACTAGATATGGATACCTTCTTGTTCACATCTGAGTCTGTCAATGAGGGTCATCCTGACAAGCTCTGTGATCAAGTCTCCGATGCCATTCTTGATGCCTGCCTGGAACAAGATCCAGACAGCAAGGTTGCGTGTGAAACCTGCTCAAAGACCAATATGGTGATGGTCTTTGGAGAGATCACAACCAAAGCCAAAGTTGACTATGAAAAGATAGTCCGTGATACTTGCAGAGGCATTGGGTTTATCTCAGCTGATGTTGGTCTTGATGCTGACAACTGCAAGGTCCTTGTCAACATTGAGCAACAGAGCCCAGACATTGCCCAGGGAGTTCATGGTCATTTCACCAAGAAACCTGAAGAGATTGGAGCTGGTGACCAAGGACACATGTTTGGTTATGCTTCTGATGAAACTCCTGAACTCATGCCTCTCACTCATGTACTAGCTACCCAGCTTGGTGCTAAGCTTACCGAGGTAAGAAAGAATAAGACTTGCCCATGGCTGAGACCTGATGGTAAGACACAGGTTACTGTTGAGTACAAGAATGACAATGGTGCCATGGTCCCTCTTAGAGTTCACACAGTTCTCATCTCAACCCAACATGATGAGACTGTTACAAATGAGCAAATTGCCAAGGATTTGAAAGAGCATGTAATCAAGCCTGTGATTCCAGCCAAGTACCTTGATGACAACACCATTTTCCACCTTAACCCATCAGGCCGTTTTGTCATTGGTGGTCCACATGGAGATGCTGGACTCACTGGGCGGAAGATTATCATTGACACCTATGGCGGCTGGGGTGCTCATGGTGGAGGTGCTTTCTCAGGAAAGGATCCTACCAAGGTGGACAGAAGTGGTGCCTACATTGTTAGGCAGGCAGCAAAGAGTGTGGTTGCCTCAGGACTTGCTCGCCGATGCCTTGTGCAGGTTTCTTATGCTATTGGTGTTGCTGAACCACTTTCAGTTTTTGTTGATACATATAAGACTGGGAAGATCCCTGAAAAGGATATCTTGGCCCTCATCAAGGAGAACTTTGACTTCAGGCCTGGAATGATCACAATCAACCTCGACTTGAAGAGAGGAGGCAACTTCAGGTACCAGAAGACTGCTGCATACGGTCACTTTGGCCGTGAGGACCCTGATTTCACTTGGGAGACTGTCAAGATCCTTAAGCCCAAAGCTTAGCCGGTGTGCATTTAGCCATCCAATTTAGCTTACCCAGTCAGCCAATTCTATTTTTTGCTTAATACAGTGTGCTTTCACTTTTAAAGCGTTTAGCTTTATATTTGTTATGGAGCAAATGATTTCTTTCATAAGTGTTGACTGTTGAATTTACATAGACCATTTGTTTAGCAATGAATGAAATCAACTGAAACTACTTGTCCATCTGCTATCTTTTTTGAATGTCTATTTTTTTTTTTTTTTTTTTTTTTTTTGGATGAAGAACAATGGATGATAGATATTCTTTGAGTAAATACCAAGTGGGTCCTATGAGGATAGTGACACAATCAAGTTTAGTCTTAAAATATCAATTAAACCATCTGTGATTTTTTCATTTTCAAATTTAATCCATGGGTTCTACAACTTAAGCTAACCCATGGAATGAAATGACCACAGTTGGTTAAATTTGATAGTTGAAGAATCACGGGTGTATTTAAGACTAAACATAAGATCTCAGCTGGTATTAACTCGATATTCTTCATTCAAAATTGCAACTTCTGAGAATAAAATAAGAGATTCCAACCACAATAAATTCAATTATGTTAGGTCTGACCCAATGCTAATTTCAATTATATTATTTTCTTAATATTGTCTCATCATATAGGTGTTTCAAGGAGCTAGAGATGGTAACTTTCCAGACAACAATATTGTTGTTGAATTTGTATTGGTTGGGTCGCTAATGGCTATAGAGCAGTACAGTTTTAATCAACAACACAAATTTATAAGTGCCTAGATGGAAATTCTTCCCTACATTGCAGCACTGAAACTTCTAACTTCCTGTTATTGCAACTTTTCCTCTCCTCAACATTCCATTCTATTTGACTTGCATATCACAGCAACAAGAAAGCTCCAAGCACACTTGGGGTTAGAGGAAATGAACCCACAGTCAGTCAGTGAATGTGAGAGAAAGTTCCTGGATGGAAATTCTGAAGCAATGCTTCTACTGCTGCTTTTATCCTCACCAGATCCTGTGGCAGTACCAAAAGTATGAAAATTTCAGTTCCAATACAAATCTATACTCCAAAACCAACTTGACAGCAAGAGGCTTGAATGATGATACTTACTTTTCCCTCGAATGTAATCACGAGAGGTCCTATTCTTGATTCTCGATAGCCACCTTAGTAATGGACACCACGGGTATAATAGGGTGTTAATAGAATATACTATATAGTGTGTGAATCTGATACCCACAATAATACATACAGATCCTTACCGATGTAAATATCAGGAAATTGAAGACACAGCTTTGATAGAGGTTGAGCAACTTCCACCTGCATCATGTTAAGTATGAAAGTGGTTGATACATCAACAAAACGGATAACCAAGAAAATAAGGTATCTGTTGGGACTCGACTCACATCAGAAAGTGCGGTTGCCAAGTGTTTTGATACAAATGGTTCCGCTAGTGCAAGTAGGCCATTAGATTTTGTCAATTCAATTAGACAACCCCATTGCTCATCCAGTTCACTCACATTTGTCGCATTGAGAACGATTACGTTCTCGCACTTGATCTACATTATTAGAGAATCACACGCTTAATACGAAAACAAGGAAAATACAAAAAGATCTCACTGGAGAAACAAACAAACATACCAAAGGTACTGTCATCCGTTCATGATGCAACAATTCTGTAATACCCTCAGGCAGCTGTGCCATCTGGAATATCAAAGAAAAGAACCAATTTTTGAAATCAGAAATAATAATTTTCGCAATCTTCTTTGACAAAGTTATGTAACGTGAAATAGAAAGTGATGTTCGATTCAAATTTGACCTCATTCTTGTCCCCAGTGCATTTTTCACCTATAAGGTGCCTTAGATATTCTTCAAATTCCTCATCAGGAGCCTGCAACCAGAAAAATGTGGAAAACGAAAGCAACGTGAGCTCCTAACAACATTATTCTATTGGCAAGACTAATAAGTTTCTCAAAAGATAAATTATGTAAATCAATATCGTATACCAAGCGGACACCAAAAGCTTTAGCAACTCCGGCTACAGTAACATCTGAATGCAATGGACCGACCCCTCCATATATAAACACCTGCAATGACATCGTAAATACTCAACAAGAAACAATCAATAAAACATTTATTAAAAAAGGAAGAAAAACCAAAGAAAATGGCAACCATGTTGTTTGTAGACTTCTGTCTCTCCACTTGCTCGGCTACAGAGTCAACCTGAATTTGGAAAGGAGGCGATTAGGACTGGAAACTACATTAGTAACCGATGTTTAAGTATTTAACACCTTAAACATTGAACAATAATGGTAAAAAGGATTCAAGCTAAGCACACTCATTTTCTAATAACGTAATTACTTACATCATTTCGAGTTACAATAACTTGAGACACAGCCCAACCAATAGTATGGAGCTTCTTACACAGTGAAGAGCCCAACTTGTCCTCAGCAGTGCCAAATCTGAGCTATGAACCAAGTCAAAGATACTGGATAAGAAATAGGTTTCGACAAAAGATTGGCTAATGATCACATAGTATTGGAAAGGGTGACAAAAAGTTGCCTAAAAGCTCTTACACTTTAGTATTAAGGATCACGAAACATGTAACCTAAAGAAGGTAAGGTAACAATAACTTACAAAATCTCATCACCAACGGCAATTACTGAAGCTGTTAGCATGTTTTTCCAACACGAATCTTCACCTTTCAATCCATTGTTAATGGGTGACACTTGCTCGGATACTGGAGAAGAGTACTTCTTTACTCTCCCCGCTCTTTCCAACCTTCCATCAGAGAGTAAATATGCGGGTCTAAATTTTTCATCGCAATTAGTGGAATGGGTGGTGCACAACAATGCATTTGGTATAGTGTCATGGATGCTCCCAATAGAAGTGTATCTGCAATACGGTGAACAATGTTCTTTCATTCATACATTTTTTAAATTTTTTTTTCATTAGAGATTATAACAACGGGAGCTAATTTTCATCACAGTGATAGGAAATGAATAAATGCCAAACTTGTGAAGCATTACCCTTGATCATAAAGGCTACAATACTGGACCTTGCAAGTCAATAGGAAAGCCCAAACATCTCTATCATGTGAACATAAACAAAGTCAGTTTCCAGTTTGTCCAAATTACAAAGTAAGAAGCAAAACAGAGACTTATCATTAAATGCTACGTAAAATGATCATGACTACAAGTCAAAACTATCAATAGGAAGGAAATAACATAAAAACATGCTTTTTAATGCACAAATAAGCATTATCAAAATTGCTTAACATTTTTTTTAGGTGTAAACCACGAGGTGGTCTGGGTCTTTCTCTGTCCGTTTAACGGTCCAGGTCCACCCGACTAATCCCCGTTCGCTCCGAGAGGCTGGGAGCTGGCTCGGGGGGAATCGAACCCGAGTTATCCTGAAATTCTTCCCCAAAATTGCTTAACATACACTTACAAGAAAGATATATTCTCTCTTGCAAACTTGGTTCTCTAGTCATTGATATAGCTACACATACTCAAGTCGATCCACACGAATATCCCACATAAAATTTGTTTTAGACAAACACATTTACTAGCTTATCTTGCAGGTGCATGAAGTGCTTATTAAGCATAGATTTACCTGTATGACCAATCCAAAATTGGGTTCACTCTCATGAAAGGTGGCCAACCAGGTGAGCTAGGTGAGAATTGCTCTTGACCTACCTGAGAGGTAGATTCAACATATATTAAATTACCACTAGGTCAGTGATAAGTTAATTTGCCGGGAATATTTTAATATAATTGAAGGTTGGAATTTCTTGAGGAATTTGTATACCGCAGTAGGATCTCCAATCCGAACACCAAGAAAAATAGCTTTAATTGGATTAGCCTTAAGCAGAGACTCTAAACCAGATTTGAAGTCAAGGCGAATAATATCCATTTGCAAGCTGTAACTGCTCAGAGAGAAGCAATCAACATAAGTGGCACCATAATTATGGTAATAAAAGAGTAAACCTTCACAATTATGACAATTATTGCTCACGTACTTAGCAGCCATTTCATAAGTGAATGAGTTGATTTCTGGGAAAGCTGATGGGCTCTCAAAATATATTGTTCGTACTGGAAATGTGATTTCACCATTCCCAAGGTCCCCATTGGGATCGCATCTTTCAGCTTCATGCAAATAATAGCCTGCCCTAAGCAAATGAAGCAAAACCTACGCGGGACAATTTGATGGTAAACGTAAATATATGTTGAAATGTAAATGAAAAAACAAACCACTGCCAGTTTAAGATAACAAGCTTACAAACACTTAAAGAACTTACAGTGGAATCTTTCCCTCCATTGAAGCTCAATGCAACCTCTTGTATACTGTTTAGACCATCAAAAAGAAAATAAAAAACTACCCAACTTTACTTTATATGGTATAGATCCATGAATCCAAGAAGTCCACACAATTCTATCCATATGCCTAAAATTCAGAGACAGACATATATTAATGTAGACAAAAGAAACAAGAAACAATACTGCCATACTGTCTTGATATAACAGATGAGCATTCTTCAAGTTTAACCCAATCAATTCACTCATTTACCCACAACATTAACCCCTCAGCTCAAATACAAGAACTTCAAAATATTTCAATGAAAAACTATAGATGATACCAAGAAGTAATTGGAGCTTACGAATAGAGAGCAAAGGCTCTTTTGATAACATATATGGCATTGTTGTACTTTGTTTTCAGTCTTCGGTCATCACATTCTCTGATCGCTTTATCAATCTCCATGCCTATTTCTCTAAAAGTCAAACTTTTCTGCACAGAAAGGATGTTATAAAGAAAGCCCAGAAATCAATCAATCCGAATTCTTGAAAGCAACATATACAATTCTATTTATGGAAAAGGAAATCAAGAAAATAATTGTGCCCCTCTAACATCAAGAACACGACATACTGGGCTCACTCTACGTCTCTACAGATTCGAAGTTTCAGCAAAAAGGGTCTCAATGTATCCAAGAAAATCTTGATTTGCGCAATTAGAAATATATGAAGCAAATAGATATCAAGAAACCAAAATGGGCGCATAAAAATTCAACTTTGAAGGGCTTAACATTGAAAATTGACCTGGTGTTGAAGAGGTGGAGTACAAAATGATAGAAATTTGTTCTTTTGTTGCATGTAAGGGTCTTTTTCTTGGTAAACCACGCGATTCTTAGTACCACATACTATATATCTCTTTGAGATTTGAGATTGGAATCATATAAAGTTTACAACTAAAATAAAAGAGAAATACTGCGTTAGCTTAGCTAGTAACGTTTTTGCATTTTGCGATGCAGCCAATAGGCATTAGGCAAGATGCAAATTCTTCTGGGTAAGAAGAAAAATTGGTAGTTTGAGATTGCGAATTGGGTGAATCACACTAATATCAAATGTAATATATTCAATTAAAAAGATATTGTGAAGAATTGAACACAGAAATTTTATTTTATCCACTCGTCTACCTCTTTCAAGACATTAAGTTGGATGAATTACACTAATATCAAATGTAATAGACTCAGTTAAGAGGATAGGAAAAGAATTGAACACAAATTTTATTTTATCTACTCGTTCACCTCTTTTAAAACGCTGAAACAATGCAAACTTTGTCGAATTGTGTTTATCCAAATCATGGATCAGATTTGGATCTCGTTGCCATGGTCCTAAATTCTGTTCATAGTCAATTTTTCTAACTTTATTATAATTTTTTAATGTCTTTTACCATACTACATATTCATTAATTTGTCTAATCAGTGGTTATATATAGTTTATATTAATTAACGTTACTTGCATAGATAGTATTAATTCTTCCTAATAAATAAGTCAACTAATAATAATAATAATAATCTAAGTAACTTATACGAGCGAATGCAAGTCATATCATTAGATTAATTAAAGGAGTTACACTTATACAAACTCTTTCTTCTCTTACCTCTCACCCTACACTCCGTTCATCTCTATGGCACCACCACTTTCTTCATCACTTGGTTTGCCAACTTCAAGCTTCTCATGCTTGCCTTCAATCATAGATTTATAGCCCTCTCTCTCATAATAATAATGAGGCAACTCCAGCCAAGTTAATCTGACAATTGTTGCTAACCACAAAGTTCAAGTTCGACATCCGTAGTAGTAGTCAGTATGTATGATCAGTGGCGGATCCAGAAAAAATTGTCAGTGGGAGCAAAACATTATAGTTTGAAAAACAATGAAACACTTAAGAAATATAGTCATAAAATTATTGGATATAGACAAAAAATAAAACACATTAAAATTTTATAAAAATATTCATAACAAAATATGAAACATAATTAATTTAATAAAATAATTCAAATAAAAAACACATTATAAATTATACATCGTGTCAACACATTATAAAGAAACACTTATGTTGAAAGTAAGTGATTTAATGAAGCAATTAAAGAAACCCTTATGTTGAGCCATAATGAAACAGAAACAGTTAGGAAAGGGATGGGATTAATGTTGAGAGAGGAAAGACTCGAACCACAGACGTTTCCCAAGCCCAAAAACGCCTTTGCTAACTCGTCCAACTTAACTATTGGTCACCTTTATCAGTTTTTAAATATTTATATGTAAAACATGTACTATATATACATATATACATACAAAGGCTATATATGGGGTGGGGGTGGGGTGAGTGGGGGCAGCTGCCCCCATGCTAAATCCGCCCATGTGTATGATACAATTAGAAGATATTATGGATGATGAAACTCATAGATGTTTCTAATAAGCTACGCATCACACTTCTTCATTTCCTCTCTATCTCAAAAGACCAACCTCCGATCAAATTTTGGCGTTGGTGAATTAATAATATACCCGAAGCTAAATACCTTGTGATTTGATGTCATCACTGTAAGCCTATGACACTTCTAAACGGAAGATCACTGGTTTGAGTCTTATCTCAATCAAGAATGTTGACTTATCATGTTTTTGAGCAAATACAACATATATATTAGATTTTTTTTTTAAGGAAAATATTAGGACTATATTCTCATCGAAAATATGTTAGATTGTAGTAAAAAAAAAAAAAAAAAAAAAAAAGTATCATGCCTGAAAGAGCGCAACTACATATACCATGATATGATTGCTTTTTTTTTTTTTTTTTTTTTTTTTTTTTTTTTGAAAAGGTGGGGAGGGGAGAACCCAGCTAGGCTAATTCCTAGCTCTCATTGCCTCATTGGTAAGGCAGCTCTTCGCAGCGTCAGTTTGGAGATAGCTCAAAACCTCATTCGGGGGGTTTGTGAACTCAATCCAATCACATTGTCTTCTCAAAGCTATCTTGGCTAGAGCATCCGCCGCATTGTTATGGTCTGTCGTAATGTGTTGAACATTGGCTTCCCAATCCTTGTCTAGCCAGCTTTTACACTCTTTAATGATTCTACCACATAGCCCGAGGATCTGTGTATCCGAGTTGATCCAATTTACCACTTCTTGCGAGTCACAAAGGAAACGAACTCGTTTCTCTGCATTATTCCAAGCCCATTTGATTCCGAGATAGAGTGCCTAAGCTTCGCTTTCTGCCACATTGTCGGCTTTTGCAATGCAACTAAAGCCTTTCTTCCAATTGCCATTCGCGTCTCTCATTAATTCTCCACATCCCGCAGGCCTCTCAAGATTAAAAAAAGAAGCATCAGTATTCACAACGGAGTACTTACCATGTTGATTATTTATCATCATGAAGTGCTTTTGCTTGTGTCAGTTGGCGTTTTCTGACTGTATGTTGATCGAGGATGCAACTCCTCATTCTTCAGGAATGAGGAGTCAAATTGTCACTACGATGCATATATATATATATATATATATATATATATATATATATATATATATCCTAGAGTTGCACATCCTTTCTTTTCTTTATTATTCAGCTCCTGACTTGTATTCTTGTTGATGCGACTTGACAATTTATATCATGGACCAGGATCCACATAACATTATGAATCTTAGATCGAAATGACGAGATGTATAATTCATACTCATAAGGTATACATAATTTCATAACATAAAACACAAAAAATCACAATACAAAACACATACATATGTTATATATTTTCTTATTTTTCAATCTGATTTAGGTACATAATTTCTTTTCATAAGCACAATTTCACAACACAAGACATGAAAGTTCATTAACATAAACCACATTTAATAATTTATTTCAGGTACAAAATTCATGCTTGATCTTAAGATACAAAATTTCATAACACAAGATACAAAAACTCATAATATAAAATACACATGTACAAGAGTCCGCAGTGCATAGTGAACCTTGGTTCATAGTGTAAGGATTGCAGTTACTTTGCTTAGGCATAGAGATGTCGATTGGCTTAGCCCATTAAGGCTATTGAGTTTATTAGTTGCAAGCTTATTGAGTAAATTTGTTGTCAAGCTAATTTTTTTGGCAGTAACCCTAAAATCTTGGGCTGTCGAGCTTATGCGATAAGCACAACTAAAAATTTTTAGCATTTAATTTAAAATTAACATTTTAAACTTTTGAAGGTGAAAAGTGAAAACATATGGGCAAATATGCGGCTATGCACTACCCGTGCACTTTAGACATAATGTATTTTTTTTAGTACTACTACCTCTGTTACAATGTAGTATATGTTCATATTTATTTTCTCAATCTATTGAAGCGCAAAGAATCAATATCACCACCACTAAAACTTGAACTCATGACCCGCCATTTGGGAGAGTCACTTCATGCCACTAGATAGGTCATTGGCGAGTCCTTGTTTTTCTTAATTGTATTTAATCTATTGTTTATTGTTACTTGTTTACTTACTTTTTATCATTGCTTGAATTCTTGACTCTACAATTTGCTTAGCTTCTTTCCAATCGTCTACGCTTAGTGACTAGTTCATTGTTATTGCATTATACGTGTCATAACCTCCAATCTCTTGAAGACAACATTTCACGGGTACATTCTATACTACATTAGATATTACTTCTATGAACACAAACCTTTGTAGTTTAGGGTGAGATAAGACACAAACCCCTTGTCCCATGGGTCCCTTGCACAATACATCTCCGATGACATTTCTATGATCTTCACCCCTTCGTAGCATAGGGTACAACAAATGCACCATTTTGTTGTTAAGGTTGTCATTATAAACCATAGCTACACTTATATTGGGACAAATCGCCTTTTGTGTTTACACCATAATAAAGATGGAACTTTACATACTCTTTTCGTAGACTAGTAATGTATACAAATTAAGCACTAGAAGATTGAGAATGTGTATACCAATTTGGAGCTTAATTAAGACTCAATTTTAGACTTAGAAAGATTTTATGATGGTAAAGGGTGTAGGAACTGATGGTTTTTGGGTTTTCAGGTCCAAGGAGGTCCAACACAACCTTTGGCTGGAGGATGCACCTTTCAATAAAAATGTATGCCTATCTCGGAAATAATGCTAGTACTCGAAATCTCTTTGGTATTCTCCCCTCTCCGGGTGTTCAATCGTCTGTCCCTTTACAAGAGTGGAGGAGCCTTTATATAGCGGCTCCTCCTCTACCGACTTGAAGGCCCTTAATGGCCGACTTCAAGACTAATTAAGATGTGGAGCCGTTGGACGCCATTACTTGGTCGACCAACGGCTCTTCCAGGCTCGTAACAGCCTGACCGAGTCCTGCTTTCAATGCCCTAACGGCTCCCTTTTGAACGAGCCTCTTCAATGCTCTCAACGGCTCCTTGAACCGAGTCTTTCCCTGGGCTTGGGCCTTGGTCGACTCCTCGTCTTGGCCTAAGCTCCCACTGGGCTCCTCTTTAGCAGTTCTGATCTAGACCCCGTGCTTGGGCCTGGGCCGACTCTAGGGCTCGGCCCCATTGCTCTCCAGGCCCCTCTCGACGCTGGCCCACTTCTCCTGTCTCGAACTATTTTCTTTGGGCCCTTATCTCTTGGGCTGGGGTCCTTACCCCATCAGGAACATCTTTCTAAGTCCGTACAATAAACTTTGAAGTATATATTAGAGAAGGATTAAAAACATATAGCTTCTTGCACAAATGGAATAAAACGATTGTTGGATATGAAAAAGATGAATAACATGATTTTCTTATTTCAAACCTTCAAAGAGATGTGTTGAAGCTTGGAGGATAAGGTCTCTCGACTTATCCAGCCGTTAGAGAGGAGATATTACTAATGTACAAAACAAACACAGTTTTGCTCATATTATTAGTTTATTAAGTTTTTGCTTGCTGTCATGATTTCTGAGCTTAAATGATTAAATTTCCTATATTTTAATTGAATGATAGACTTATGCATGATTTGAATGGATTTTG